ACCTCAAGCCTGCTAGGCAGGTGCTTTATCACTTGAGCTACTCCAGCAGCCCTTTTTGCATTGGTTATTTTTGAGATAAGGCCTTGCTTTATGTTGTGACCAGCCTGAACCACAGTCCTCCTATTTATGCTTCCTGCTGTAGCTGGAATAACAGATGCTTGTCATCATGCCTAGCCATTGGTTGAGATGGGGTCTCATGAACTTTTTTGCCAGGGCAGGCCTGGGACTATGACCCTCCAATCCCCACTTTGCAAGTAGCTTGTATTACAGATTTTAGCCACTGTCCTGGGCTCTGTTTTTGTTGTTGTTGTTGTTGTTTGTTTTGTTTTCTTAAATTTCAGTACTGCCTCAAAAATCCTTTTAGGGAAGAGGGCAGTAACATGGTTAACTTGTTAGTACACAATACCAGAAAGGAAAAACAAGCAAATAAGCAAATAAAAACTTTAGTATTATCTGAAAACATCCCCTGTTACAAAACCAAGGAATATTCAAGGTAAGGACTATCTATGCCACTCCTTCTAGGTCCTGAAAATTCTGGAATTATTCTGGACCATGGGGGATTCAAAAAAAATTGGAATAGCCTTTCTACACTCTGGTTGGTGTTGGTTGTGAATGTAGAAGGTCAGAGCTTCAGAAAGAGACAAAACTCTGGTTTACAAGTGTTAGCCACCTGGAAAGACAGCTTTGCAGTAGGACAGAGGCCAGCAAACCAGCTAGATCACGGGTAATCCTAGTCCAATCATTAACAGCCACTGTCCTTGTCCTTTAGGAACAACACTACAGGAGTTGGAAGAAGAGATGGGAGTGGGAAGTGCCATCAATAAAATGAGGATTGTTAGGTTGGCTGAAATGACCAGGAGCCCCGAGAGTGTCAAGGCTGGCATAGGACAAATTGTGCACAACAGTCCCCATAAAAGGTTAAAAAAAATGAACAGCATATGGGACAAGATTCCATTAGTGGCCCAACCCTAGAAACACCTTCCCTCCACCCCGCTTATGCAGTTCCATGCTTCTGAACACAATCTTCCCCTGACCATGGCTCCACCTGTTTACTGGCAGAAAATGGCAGCTTCAGGTTTTCCTTGACTTGATGTCTTCCTTCAAGGCAAGGACTGTCAAAGACTCAGCTAGAAGTCTCTGTAATGGGAACACTGACATTGCCCACTGTCAACCAAGGTTACATGGTGAGTGCCACCCCTGCAGGGTCTCTGAGTACAGTTAACAGAAGAGGGGCTCCTGGAGGTAATGGATTTACCATGTCCCAGTAAATAATGCCATCCTTTCCTTCCCTCTGTGACCAGGGGCCATGCACTCCCATCTGGCCTTATAAAGTGGTCCTGCCCTAAAATATGTTAACACGCTAACCCCAAATCCACAGGTGTGAAGGGGAAACAGGTATATGGGAGAATTCAGAATTAAACCAGCATATGCAAAACGAATGTGAAGAAATACTTCCCAATTTATCCGTAGTATGTATGTAGAGTTTATGAATGCTATGCCCTTAGAATGGTGCACATTTGGTTCTCATAATTGCAAAATAAAAGAAGGGTTGGGGATTGCATTTTTTAAAAATAATAAAGTCATTCTTAAATTCTTCCAAAGCCTAACTATGAACCACTGGAAGTGAGAACTGAGAGGCAGGTGAGCAATGCTAAGAGTAAGTTACTGCTCAATGTCTCCAGAGGCTAAAAGGGAGCCCTGAGCTCCACCTGCATGCATGTGTGTGCACACGTGTGTGCGTGTGTGTGTTGTAAGCCCATCTGGGAGGGTAATAAGTTCCATCCTGGGGACTAGAAATTACATATTAGTCCTCTCCAATTTGTTGTTTTAATTTTCTAGTTGTCAGATCTCTTTTTTTTATATATTTTTTGGCAGTACTGTTTTTTTTCTTTTTTAAACTCAGGGCCTCATGCTTGCTAGGCAGGCACTCTGCTACTTGAGGCGTGCCCCCAGGCCTTTTTGCTTTAGCTATTTTTCAGATAGCGTCTAGAATTTTTATCCTGGGTGGGCCGGACCATGGTCTTTCTACCTCCATCTCCCACATAGTCAGGATCAGGGCTTTACCACCCCCAACGTTTTTGTTGAGATGGGGTCTCGCTAACTTTTTGCCCCAGCTGGCCTCATACCTGGATCCTCTCAATCTCCTCTCCACCTCCCAAGTAGCTGGGATTACAACTGTGTTCCACAGCACAGGGTCCTTATCCTGCCATTCAGAGCTGTTCCTACAATCTGCCTCCAAAGAGGGATTCGACCTCTGTCCATGTTTGTGTTCTGTATGGCATGTTTTCAGAACAAATACATTTTTTTTAATGCTGTAATGAAGATTTTTAAACCAGCATTACATACTCCTAGTATTTCCTACCTTCCCACGTAAACACAGTTTTAGAGGCTATAAAGGGAGTTTGGGGGTGGGGCTGCAGACAGAGCAGGGTGTGTGCAGGGCTGGGAACAGGGGGCAGGGCAGGGAAAACTGCCAGATTTCGCTTTGCTACAACTACATGTAAAAACAGAGCAGCCTAGGAGAACTGTTTCAGTCACCTGTGCAAAGACAGCTCACATGTGCCTACTTAAGCCTATTTGATGCACCATTAAAATATCTTCATGAGCCAGGCACGGTGGCTCACACCTGTAATCCCACCTACTCAGGAGGCAAAGATGGAGAGGATCGAGGTTCCAAGCCAGCCCTGGCAAAAAGTCCCTGAAACCCCATCTTAACCAATGACTGGACTCATTGGTCCTCTCCTGTCATACAGCTACATGGGATGCGTAAATAGCAGTATTCTAGTTCAGATGGACCTGGATGTGAGAGCTTTATTCAAAAATAATGAAAGCAGAAAGGGCTAAGGACGTAGCTCAAGTGATAGACAGAATGCCTGCCAAGTGCAAGTCCCTGAGTTCAAGTCCCAGTACTATCAAAAGGAAAATAAAAAGTCTTTGTGGTTCATACATAATTCAATATAGATAATCTCTAACTCAAATGACAATAAGCTGATTCAATTTATTCTCACCATTTTAAAAGAAGCCCATAGACTTCATTTTATTTCTTTAAATCTAAATGGGACAAGTTTAAAAAAATTAAGGAGATTTATTCCACTTAAAAATTTTTATAATTTGTTTAATTTTTAAGGCATACAGAATGTTTGATCATTCTAACATCAAAAGTACAAAAACAGCACTAGTAACATTTGGTAGTCCTCTCATTTACCAAGTTTAAATACAACATTATAAAACTAAATTTCAAAATCTGACTTCTAAAGAAATGTGAAACAATATGGTGAATAGTGACACTGGCTAGACCCAACCTCCAAAAAAAAAGTATGTGGGATAAAACCACAGCATCCCACAGTGAGCAAGGAAAGAAAATGGCCTCTAAACAAGAATTTGTTTCCTTATAAGACATTTTTGACTAAGCCCGAGGATCAATACCGAAAATGCACGTACCCTCTCTCAAATGAATCACCTATAGAGCAGATGTATGGATGAAAAATAAGCATTTTGGCATCCATCATACACCACATCCAGCTTTATAACAAGGGTTTTCTATAAGATGCAAGTCACTGTCAAGGAAGAAGCTGATGAAGTCTTGCTGAGTATCTAAGCTGCTTCCCATTTTCTCTCACGTGTGGGCTAGAGCCCAGCAGCACCCCCTACACACACACACACACACACACACACACACACACACGCAAAGCTAGGATGAGGGTGGGTTGCAGGGATGGTGCAGGGAAAGCCACAGATAGACCAGAAATGCTTTGAGTCAATCGTTTCCACTTCCTCCCTCACTAGATCATTTACCAGAACTGCCCAAGAGTAGGACCCTCTGGGTTTTAATCTGGAATTTAATCTCCTTGGGTTTTTCCAGCCTGACCTCAAAATAAGATATAAAGGGCACAGCAATGACAATGACTGAACTAGCTCCCATGACATCATCGTCACAGGAGATGCCATGTTGAATCTTAGAGCAGCCATGAGATAGAAATAAGGTGTGCTAGATTCCGTTTCCATGCAGGATGGAGAGCTTCTCCAGGTTGCAGCTGATATGAGGAGTCCCCCTTGAAAGCATTTTCCTCTAGAGGGGAGGGAGCATGAGAAGGTAAAAGAAAGGGAGCTGGAACCAAAGGCACAGAAAGGGCTCTCCTCCACTGCCTTTCCTGGAATCAGAGGCAGCAGCAACCCAGAGGTGAGAACAAGGCATCCTGGGGTTTAGTCACACTGGTCCTGCTGGTCCTGTGTCTCCAAGCACTCTGTAGTCCCCTGCCTCTTTAACCCCTGACCCAAAGTCCCCCTTCTAGCTCTGCAGGGCCAAATCTTTTTGTTTGTTTTAGGTCTTTTATGATGACTAACAAGGCCCCAAAAGGTCCTCTCAACAGTCCTTTAAATAAATACAATGCCATGAAAGTGTGTGTGTGTGTGTGTGTGTGTGTCTCCGTGCATGTGTGTCCATGGGAAAGGCTGAAGATGCAGGAGATAGCCACCGAGATATCATCAGTAATTAAGTGGAGTGAAATTTTTCCCATTCTTCTTTATATTCTCTGATACACTTTTAAAGTATGAAAATAGGTATGTCTCATTTTATAATTATAAAAACAGTATTTTCATTCTGGAAAACTTAAAGTAATATTTGAAAAGAGAAAAACTAGGATACCTATGATTACAAAAACTATCAAAGAAAGACCAAGCTTTTTTAAAATGAGGGAATTGAACCCAAAGCCACTTTGCTTTGAACCTTAAACTGCAAAACACATGTTCTGCATCTCACAGAGTACATCAGTGAATGTCAAAGGTATAAATTAACATAGACTAGACAGCTGATGCGTATAACAGATACTGGTGTATTAAGACACACAAGTGAGCTGACAAACTACAAGGCCACGTGTCACTTTCGCGGCTCTCACGATGGGCACATCTATTGTGCAAAGTTGATTTCTGGGGGAAATACATTCAACACTCTTTGAAGCCCAGCTCACTCAACTAGGAAATAAAACAAGAAGCACCCGGCTTCACTTCATTCTTTTCGCAACATCTGAGTAGGCGTGTTCGATCTCCTGGTTGGCTGGACACGTGTTCGTGAACTCATCTCTAGCGTAAGCATTGTTCAAGTATCTCCAGATGCCAGACATTTCAGGAGGAAATTCAAAATCTCTGTATTTCTTGGCCACAATCTGAAAATTAAGAAGAAATTATGAGTATAGGGGAAAATCCACTAACGTAGGCAAGCAAATCAGACAATCCATTCCTTTGAGGCGCGTAATTCATTCCTGATGTCATACTGTGTCATTCGGACTGCCCACAGTGGCATTTTTGACTTTGTATTAAGGCATCTTGGGGGCAGGACAGGTAATTAAGTCACTGGGCTCAAAAGAGTAGTTGCACACAGTCCTGCCCGCTGGGTTGCCACAGGCAACTCTGTATATATTCTGTATTCTAGTAGATTTCTCCTGTGTGCTGTGATTGCCTTGCCCTGTATTCTGCCACTATTTTATATGGCACATATAAATTCATGATAAAATCTTTGGTTTCCATTGTGTCAGGATCACTGCACAGTGGGCTCTGCTTATACTACTTGCTGAACTGCTCCTCCTGCAATCCCAAATATCTTTGTCTGTTACTCCTCCAGATGTCCATCATTCTGTCCCCAGTGGGACAGAGTGACCAATCGATTGTGGGCCTACCATGTGTACAGGTTCGATGCGTGAGCAGACAAAGCACAGTAGTTACCCTCATGGAGACAGTGGATGCAAAGAAAGAACAACTCAAAGTGAGCGCCATGAGAAACTCGGCACTGGGAGATGTTTCCCCAGGCTGCAAGGGTCCAGCTGGGGAATGGGTCGAAGGACGGTGCATAACACTGAGGACTGTATCCGTTTGCTCAGAGCTATTGTAACAAAGTGCCACAAACTGGGAGGTATTCTCTCATAGTCCAGGAAGCCAGAAATCCAAAAGTCAAGATGTCAGCAGAGCCCTGCTCTCATAGAAGTCTCTAAGAAAAGGTCTGTCCCAGGCCTTCTCTCCCAGATTCTTGTCATTCCTTGGTATGTGGAGGCATACTCCAGTTTTCACATGGCGTTGTCTCTGTCTCAAATTTCCCTTTCTGCAAGGACCCCAGTCACATCAGAGTAGGGTCCAGGCTACTCCAGTCTGACCTCATTTTAACTAATGACATCTGCAAAGACCCAGATGCTAGATGAGGTCACATTCTGAGGTCCACATGGGTAGGACCTCAGCATATGAATCTGGGGTGGGAGAAACACAATTCAATGTGTAATAGGGACCCAGAAAGACCAGAGCCAGTTCCACCTTGTCTCCTCCCATCCCCCAGTTCCCAGGAAGTCTCAGTGAAGTCAGCCTGGAGTTCACCACAAATTAGATCTTTGGGATTTATTTCTCAGATTTTGGAGGGCAGAAACCACTGATGCAGTGTGACAGCAAATTAGGACCAAATGACTTTTAGAAAGCCTCTAAAATGGTTCACATCTTTTACTTCAATTCAAACTTATAAATGTTGATGCTAAGAAATCTCATTTGCTTGTTGTCATTAACTTGGCTTACTTTGCCCATCTTTTTTTTCTTTTTTTTTTACATTTCTTCTCTGAGTAAATTTGTTAAATGTATTCCTTTATGTTCTATTTTCTCTGAATTCAATGCTTACTTTATTTTCTGTCTTTCTCTGTGTATGTGTGCACTCATGTGTGGGGTTATCTTGCCGGTAACTGAGCAGGCTACCTAAGGCTTAAATCTTTCAGTGGTTGGTTTCCTGTGGAACTCCAAATAATAGGAATTCTCACTGGAGGTGTGGCTCAAGTGGAAGAGTGCTTGCCTAACAAGTAAGAGGCCTGGGTTCAATCTACAGTACCAAAATAAATAAGTAAGTAGATAAGACAGACAGAGAGAGAGAGAGAGAGAGAGAGAGAGAGAGAGAATAGATACTAAGTAGATAGACATGTACAACCATACATAAATGGAATTCTCTATTTCTTGATTTTTATTGGCTTGAGACTCCTGATGGTGACAGATGAGGAAGTTTGTGTGTCTGCACTTCTTCTCTCCTCCAAAGATTATAACCGTATCCAGATGTTCTGTTCTGTCCCTGTAGCTGTTGCCTGGTCTTAATGCTAATTTTAGATTTCAATGGGTTCTCTATTTTTCAACTGTCCTTTTATGCCACACACCTTCTCTGTGCCTAGATTCTTATTTCGATGATCATTTTATTATTTCATTACATAGCTGTTTTTTTTTTAAAGACTCAGGACTGCTTATTTTACTGAATTAGGAGTCTAGGTAGAAATTACAATTTGCAGGATATAAAATTCTTACCCAATACATTCACTTACTTCTCTATAGATGCTAAACCTCTATTTTTAATGTCATCAGGACATCTGAGGCCAGTCTGAATTTCTTCCCCATGTAGGTGTTTTTACTATTTATTTTATTATTACTATTACTATTGTTATTATTATTAGTTATTGTTGTTATGATTATTATTGTCCGGATGTCTGCTATGGTTTGGACATAGTTTGAGTATGTCTCTCCAATGCGTTGTGTTTTGGAAGCTCGGCCATTAAGTGGGACAGTGTGAGTGTGGGAGGTGGTAGCCCCTTGCACAGGCAAGGCTTAGTAACAGGTCACTGGGGCCATGTCCTCAGAAGAGACTGAGACAGTTCTCTAGGGATCCTGGTTAGTTCTCTCAAGAGGGCTGTTCTAAAAGAGCAAGACTGGCTCCTTCCCACTCTCTGGCTTCCTTTCTCACCATGTGATCACTCTCACACAAGCTCTCACCACGCAGATACCATCACCATGAGGGCCTTACCAAGTCAATGTGTGCACATGGCCACAGAACAAAGCTAAAACAGTTTCATTTCTTCATATATTACCTAGTCTTAGGTATTTCATTATAGCAATGGAAAATAGACCAATACAATTCCCACAGGGTTCTTCTTTTATTCTCAAAGCTCAATGAAGCATCATCGTACTGATTGTTCTGGGGCAATGCCTTCCTAAACATGACCTCTCATTTAAGCAGGAGTTCAGGGCTAGGGAGATATGAGTGCTTGCCTGGCATGTGTGAGCCCTTGGGTTTCACTCCCAGCATTACAAAATAAAAACAAAAAGTAAATAAAGTAGCCAGCATGGTGGCACATGCTTATAAGTCCCGGTATTTGAGAAGCAGAGACAAGAGAATAGTGAATTTGGGGCCAGCCTGGGTTATGTAGTGAGACCCTGCAACAAAAAAACAAGGGCTGGGGATGCATCTCAGTGCTAGAGCATTTGCCTAACCTGTACAAGGCCCTGGGTTTGATCCCCAGCACTACAAAAAATTTTTTTAAAAAGATAAAAATAAATAAAGTAAAGCAAAGGTCCAGGTTAAATTTTAGTTAAAGTATTTTCCCCTCGAATTTCCCTTTCTTTTCCTTTCTCCTGTCCTGTTCTCTTATCCCCAGTTATACATACACCTGGGATCCTACTAATCACTTTCTCCTCCTTTGTTTTTCCATTTGATTTCAGGCCTAGGCTCCAAATCCCCAAATTATTTTGCCATTGCTTTTTTCTTAAAATCTGCTGTCCTGATTTCCAATCCTTTTATAAGTATCTTTTTTTTTTTTTGACATTTTGTGTATCGTCTTTGAGCTTTTTCTGTAAAGATACATACTCTTTTTCACTTCTTGAGGATGTAGTAAAGTTTGGAACTTTCTTTAATTTCCTGGAACAAATGTTCATTGCATATGTTTCTCACTGCCTTTTTGTTATTGTTGTTCCTTCTTATACTTGCCCTCCCCTTATTTCATTAGCTTTAACTACACAGAGGTCCTACTTGGATTCCTTTTGGTTATTAGTCATCTTTTAATGAAGCAGACATATTGGAGCTACAATTTCTTAAAAATAGTGAAGTAAGACAGAGCAGGTGGTAGATCAGTTTGGATGCTCTCACCCAACTATCCTCTTCTCTGGGTCACAAGGACACATTAGGGTTAAGGCTATGGTTAAGATTAGAGTTAGAATTAGGGGGTCATCAGCTTTACAACTCACAGATTAACCAGGATGTCACCATGGTTAAACATGAAAGTTTGGGCATTTCTAATCTCTTTCTTGACTCCTTGGGGCTTTTCTTTTCTCTGCTCAGGAGCCATAAAACAGAAAGTCACCTCCCACTCCATGTTTTATCTCTGGATGAGGGACTGGGTGATGGCACCTCTGCTTGGTCCTCCTTCAACTCTGCCTCCTCAGAGATCTCTTGAAAGTGGTCTCTACGGAGAGGCTCCTTGCTTCCCTCATGACCTACTGCACGCCCTGGCTCTCAAATAAAGTCATTTGGTTTGGGCATTCCGGGATTACACTGTTTACTTTTTGAGAACTCTGAACCTTGCTAATGATTTGGAGAAATAAGAATCTGTCCTGTGGCAGCTCCCATTGGGTATAGTTTCTTAGTGTTCAAGATGGTGATCTGCCATTCTTTGTAGTTTTGTGAAATGTGAAGCTAATACTCTATTTTCATATTGTTTTCACTGGGTTTCAGGAAGGGGAAGAGCTCATAAACCCTTCACTCACTCCTCTTTTACCATAATTCCCTTTGATTCCTTCTCATTTCCTTTCAGAAGTACTCCATACTGGAAGATCGTTAAGCTATTTGGTATCTTGAAAGCTAAAAGGCTTTGAAGATTTTGCAACTCGGTCTTATATTGGAGTCCTGGACTGTTTCATTTCCCTCAGAAGCTTAACCCAACCACTGAAATATAAAACAGCCTTTTTTTCTTTAATAGGAGCTAAACAAGTGGCAATTAATGCTGTATAGCTAGAATATTTTTATTGCTCTTTTTTGTTTTTTGGACATGAAATATCCCAGCAAATCACTCACATTATGAAGGTTTAGTTCCCCAGCTGGTGGCACTGTTCAGAGGTGACCAATCATAAGTGCACTAAACTCACCAGTGGGTTAATCCATTGATGATGAGGTTGGCTGCTGAATGTACTATTGGGGGTGGAGCCTGGTTGGAGGAAGTAAGTCACTGGAGGTGTGCCTTTGAAGGATATATCTTATACTTGGACCCTTCCTCTTATTCCATCTGCTTCCTGGCTGCCATGAGGTGAGCAGTTTTCCTCTGCCATGCCTTTCTGTGATGACGCTGTGCCTCATCCCAGGCCTAATAGCAATGGAGTCAACCAAACATGAACTGCATGCAACCTCTGAAACCATGAGCCAAAGTAATCCTCTCTTCTCTTAAGTTGATTTTCTCAGATATTTTATCACAGTAATAAAAAACTAACACACTCTTCCTCAACCTCTGTGTACCTCTGTAATACTCCCCCTAGTCACAGCAAAAGCTAAAAAGCAGTCACTGAAAGGGACAATGGCATAAGTATCCTGTTGGAAAATGGCTCCCAAATTCAGCAGGTTTTGAGGGATTGAGATGCTTTCATTAGATTTTGGATGCCAGGGCACTGGCAAAGCTTCTGGAAAGACATTCACTCGAGGGATTAGCAACTTGCATTGGAAGTGGTTGTCCATCATACAGACAAGGAAGAGAGAAGAGAGACAAACAGGTAAAGACTGAGGGGGAAGAGGGCAGGAAGATGTGCACAAAGAGAAGGAAAAGTGATGATGTGGAGAGACCAGGAGTAGCTGCGGAGCAATGGCACTACAGGCTGTGTGGACCTGACGTGTACTTTATGTGTTGTTAGAACACAGGGTGATTGACTTGTATACCCCTGTGTCTCTCTTAATATCCCTGCTCGATAACAACCTGGCTGTGGACCTGGGGGATTTTAATAATCAAGATGCCCCAGAGGAAGGCATGGGCTTCTTTCTGGGTATCTGAGGCTACTGAGGGTCACAGATATAGCAATAGTGACAATGACAATAATGATTAATACCTGTAAGTGACACAGAGGCTGAGAGACATAAGCAACTCAGGAGTCCTAGTGTGAGACAATCTGTCTGGCAATCCCAGGGTCACCCCTAGAAGTTCTGGTTTACTAGATCAGGCAGTGGATCAAGGGACTTGCATTTCCTAAAAGCTCCCAAAACAACTTTTATGCTTTCTAGCACTGGAGAACCACTGGTCTAGGAAGTCTTTAAATCCTAATAATATGACCCATGTCCCTTAGATAGTGTTCAACTATCTGAGAAGACAGGGTACCAACTATGGCAGAGGTCAAGCCAAGAATCTCAGCTGCTGAAGGTCAGTGTTAATAGGTGATGGAACACTCCTCTGTCATCCCTAGAAAAAGCTAGGCTTATCCTTATGATCATCAAAAGCCTCCAAGCCTCAAGTGTTAAATGTCAAGGAAACCCTAACTTTCCTCAAGTTGCTTTTGCATAACTTTAGTTGAGAAGAGTGGTGAGAACAGAGGGACAGGAGCCAAGTTCACAGGTATTTCATGGGAACATCTGGAGCCCATCCTTTTGTGTATATGAAACCTGAGGGCTTAGCTGCCTCAAACAGAAACAAGTTAGTTTTCAGTTGAAGAATCCACAGTTCAGGTTGTTTAAATGTCTGGCCCAAACGCAAGTCAAAACAAAGTCAAACAAAGCCTCCTTCACGTATTCAGCACAGATGTCAGGAGAAAAGACAAACCTTAATAATATGAAGCTTGGGTAAGAGGTTGCAGTCAGCCAGCGTGAGCTCATTCCCATCCAGAAATTTCCTTCCAGAAACAGTGACATCCTCGGTGCTATGGGCATCTATTTCATCCGGCAGAGGGCTGTTTAAGTAATTATCCAGCTTCTTCAGGGCCCGTAACAAGTTCTTTTCATAAACTAAAACAGAAGACAAGAAATTGCCAAGCTAGGCCATGCAAGTTATCATCTACTTATGAGGGAGCTTGATGCTCTTGTACCCCAAGACATGACCAGCCAGTGATGGATGGAAAGAAGGAAGGACATGGATGTAACATATCTGAATGAGGACTCACTCCTTCCTGGAGAACAACACTGCTACTTCTAGAACTCATGTATTTATTTAAAAAGCATGTATGGAAAGCCTATAATTAGGTTGATACTGGCAAAAGCATCATTTATACAACCTGGGTTGTGAATATTGTCCCTAATAATGTCTTTTTCTGGATTCCCACCCTCTACTGGATCTCTTGGAAGTCATGTGCAGAGTCAAAGCCAAAGGTATTATTTGCTTATTTCCAAACTCCCATCACGATCCTCTTAGAAACGAGTTCGAATTCCCACCATCTTTTAAGCAGCCACACAGAAGGCCAAGTATGTAGACACAGAAAGCAGGAACACAGAGGTACTCACTCTCATTTGCATCCTTCTTGGTGTTTTTAATGAATGCTGAGAATTTGGCAAACACATCATTTCCGGCTGAGTTAGATTCAGGGTGTTGGGTCCCCAACTTAGGGTATCTTGAAAAGTTCAAAAATGGAGGATCACAGAAAAGCAGCATTTGTGTTGGGACAGTAAATGGGGGTGTCTTTCTCTGGGTGACATAAAAAAGACAAACATCCCCTGACTGTTTGCCTAATCTTTTAATCTTTAAGATTGGGAAGCAACAGAATTTAGAAGAACCACAGAGGACCTAGAGGTTTTGTCCTGATGATGACCAATCCTGGGACACAGGGCACCACAAGGTCTTTGCTGGTCTTAGTTCCCTCCCAGTGAAGAGAATGTACTAGAATGTTCCTTCCAGTCCCACATGCCATGACACTCCATCCTAACATACGCTCCTTATCTCCAGCAGCACATCTGAGAAATAGCACCCCACACACCATCGACACCTCCTACCCATCTCCCGCCACAATTGCCAGAATGTGTGTGCAGAGCAATGAAGTCTAGGCTACCTTAATTTTCCTGTACCACACACCACAACATGACAGAGGAAGAAAGCCCCATGGCCGCAGAAAACCACACACGCACAGCTATGAGCTCTCCAGTGGTCATGGGGGAAAAATATTGACCAAGTTGTGAGCGCTGGTTTCAGCAGGCCTACCTCGGAGGAGCTAACTTCTCCTCTAAGAACTCCTCAATCTTATTCACATCCGTCTTGACTTCACCATCAAAGGTCATAAAAGGAGGGTTTGTTCCAGGAGCCAGGTTCTGTAGGTCTGCGGGTTTCCTGGGGGCAACACAGCATCTTTACAGACAGCCTTGAGTACCTGGATTTGCGTCCAAGACCTAGCAGTATCCTCCCCAGTTTAAGGGATACAACCCCAAGAATTTCACAGTAGCCGTGGGTTTACAAAATGGCTTACTGGTAAGGAAAGTAAGGATGCATTAACAATTTATGGGTTAGATTCACGTGTGGCCTCTGCTCTGTTGAGATGGAAAGGTAAGTCTCCCAGTGTTATCAGACAAGCTTCTGGGAGGTACCCAGCTGACCTGCAATGGGGACAGCAGGTTCCTTTCAGCCACTGCCTCCTAATTCTTCCTGACCACAGCCCAGGCATCCTGTAACTGTGCTGCTCGGCCCACACTTCAGCTTCACTGCAAGCTCCTGACCAAGGATGGACATGCCTGTGACATTACGTGTGTGTGTAGTGTAGTGTGTGTGTGTGTGTGTGTGTGTGTGTGTGTAGTTGTGTCATATGTGTGTATGTGTGTGTAGTGTGTGTGGTGTATAGTGTGTATGTGTGGACTGTGTAGTATGTGTGTGTGATGTGTCGTATTGTAGTGTGTGTATATGTAGTGTGTGCAGTGTGTGTTTCGTGTGTATAGTGTATGTGTAGTGTGTGTGTGGTGTATGTAGTGTGTGTAATGTGTGTGCAGTGTGTATAGTGCGTGTAATGTGTAATATGTAGTGTGTGTGTAGTATGTGTGCAGTGTGTGTGTAATATGTGTGCCATAGGTATGGTGTGTGCATGTGTAGTGTAGTGTGTAGTGTGTGTAGTGTTTGCAGTGTGTGTAGTATGTACTGTGTGTATAGTGTGTAGTGTGTGTGGTGTGTGTAGTATGTGTGTAGTGTGTAGTGTGTAATGTGTGTGTAATATGTGTAGTGTGTATGTGTATAGTGTGTGGGGTGTGTGTGTAGAGTGTGTGGTGTGTGTGGTGTGTGTGTAGAGTGTCTGCAGTGTGTAGTATGTGTGTAATGTGTGTGTAGTGTGTGTAGTGTGTGTGTGCAATGTGTAGTGTGTGTGTAATATGTGTAGTGTGTATGTATAGTGTGTGTGGTGTGTGTAGAGTGTGTGGTGTGTGTGGTGTGTGTAGAGTGTGTGGTGTGTGTAGAGTGTGTGGTGTGTGTGGTGTGTGTAGAGTGTGTGGTGTGTGTGGTGTGTGTAGAGTGTGTGGTGTGTGTGGTGTGTGTAGAGTGTGTGGTGTGTGTGGTGTGTGTAGTGTCTGCAGTGTGTAGTATGTGTGTAGTGTGTGTAATATGTGTAGTATGTGTAGTCTGTAACATGTGTAGTGTGTGTAGTGTGTGTGTGTGTGTGTGTGTGTCATGTGTGTGTAGTGTGTAGGACTTAAGCTCACTATTTCGATAATGCAGAACCTTCTCTTACCTTTTCAGGTCCACTGTTGTCACATTAAATATAACGCCCTTGAGCCAGAGAATCATAAAAAGGCGCTGGGAGAATGGGCAATTTCCAATGCTCTCACCATCGTCACCAGCCTACAATGGAGAAGGACCCTCATCTGAGTCAGTCTCACGGGGATAAATGCCAGACACCACAGTTGACACACACACAATCATTGGGAATTTGTACGAATGGTCACGATACCGTAATAGCCTTCTGAGGCCATTTGCCCCAGGGTCTGTGCCAAGGCGGGAGGTGGACGTGGAGGAGAAGGGAGAGTGCACACGTTGCATGCACACACATACAGCACACAGCCTCTTCTTCCTCCCCTGTCACCTCACCACCTCCTGCTGCATTCTGCCTCGGAGCAGCAGGAGGGAACAAACTTCACTGCCAAAGGCAAAAAAAGAAAGCCCTCCTCTTCCCCTCCATCTCCCAGTGGGAGAAAGGGGATATACCCCACTACCCGAGATGATGGTGTTTATAAACTAACCAACTGACTGGCCGGTCTCTTCCACACCCATCTACCGTACGAGAATTTGGAGGAATGATGGAGCCTAACTCACGCTAAGGACGTTCTGAGACTCTTCCTTCCCTCTCCATTTTTACCGCTTCACAAGTGTCTGTCAAGATTAGGGTGCTAGTAACGTCCTGCCAAAAGGGCAAGGTGGCTTGGACACACTTCCCATATGTGGGGTACTCCCCAGAGGTTCAGGTGCTGGAAGCCTGGTGGTGATGGGAGGTGGTGTGGGACCTTTAAAAGGTGACACCGAGTAGGTGGTCATTAAAGGCATAGCCCTTGGAAGGGATTAATGCTGATTGAGATGGAGTGCTGCCAATTTTTTGCCCAAACTGACCTTGAATCAAGATCCTCCCCATCTCTGTCTCCTGAGTTGCTGAGATTATAACTGTGTACTCCCATGGCTGACTCAACTGACAAGTTCTTAAGGTTTGAGTACTTTTTCAAATATATGTTTTTCCTCAATCCAGAAGTAAAAAAAAAAAAAAGTAAATATATATAATTTTTTAAATACAGAGCGATGGATTGAGGGTCTTGCATGGCAGGAGTCTGGAGTTTTTACAAGGTCCTCTGAGGAGATGCCATGTCAGTGGTCAGGGGCCACACTGCAAGAATCTACATCTTGGGCAGAAGACGAGGTGAGGACAGTGTTACCAATGTGTGAGACAGAGCCGAGGGAAGCCCCAGTCGGATTATCCATTAACGAACACACTCGCAAGGCCTTCTGGTTAAGTAATACCTGTGCAAACATCGAACTGAATTCACAGGAGGAGGAGCCAATAGGCCCAGTCACCGAATTCAGTTCCCAAAGCTCCGCCTGGCCTCCACCCCCGCTCCACCCCAAGCTGGCCCTTGCTCCAGCCAGCACTGCCTACAGGAGGAGAGGCCTGAGAACTCCTCCAGGGCAAAGTCCATGGAGTTTGGGAGTCCGAGGGTAGGAAAAGGAACAGTTATGACACATGCTTCCAAGGAGTCATAGCTCCACTGTGCATGGACCAGAAATATCACCCCACCTCACCCACCTGAGGCCATTCCTGCCGTGGGACCCCACCAGTCTATGGTCCCATGGCCATAAGGAAAGCACAGAGCCACCTGAAGCAGAGTACTTGCTGTCTGGGAACCCTTTTCAACCAAGGCACGTTCCTACCTGCTGCAGGTTTGGGCGCAGTCAGACCAAGCAAAGGCGGGGGGGAGGGCACAGGGACACAGCCACATAGTTTGGCCAGCTCTGACTTGCCCTGCAGGTTTGAAACTTCTTATTTTTATAACAGCAGCACTAAGCACAGTAAAGTCTAAAGCGAGTTCTGCAGAGCAGGCCACCGTTCTCCTTCTCTTCTCCCCTTATCTCTCTAACCTTTGCAATCCTGTCACAACCCACTGTGAATGAGGCTGAGCTCTGTGCCTCCTACTCCATGGCTGAGTGGCTGATGAAGCTCACCTTGACAATGAGCCCTGTGTCTGCAAGGAGTCTCTGCACCCCCGCTCCCCACTCAGCATCTGGAGAATCATTGGATCTTGCAGGTTCCCGCTTCCTTACTCTGTCTCTTTAATGATCTCAAACTCAAATCTGTGTTTTCCCTTGAAGTCTCCTCTCATATTATTTTCTGAATATTTTGGCAACTACTTTTTTGGGAGGAACAAACAAGCTAGAAGCAATCTCTCTCAATCTCTCTCTCTCTCTCTCTCTCTCTCTCTCTCTCTCTCTCTCTCTCTCTCTCCTCCCTCTCTCTTCCTTAAACTTTTTTTGAGACAGCAGCTCACTATGTGTCCTAGGCTGCCCTTGAACTCACAATCCTCCTGCCTCTGCCTCCCCAGGGTGGGGATTACAGGCATGCACTAGCACACCTGGCTAGCCATAAATTTCTTTATAAAATAAGAATTGCCTTTGCTGTCTAACTCTGTAAAAACTTAAGTCTCCTCTGCTCTGCACCTGGAAGAAGACATCTGGCCAGAAGGTGGAAGGATGGTCTGCAGGGCTGTAGTGCCTGCAGCATGGAAGATAATGGTGAAAGCTTCCCTCGTATGAGACTCTACCGGGCCTTGACTCTAAACTGTTCCAATCCAGCATGACTAAACCGGAGGCCGGTAGGCATTTTAGAAGAATTAGCTAGTTACCCCAACTGCCAATAAAACAGGATTTACATATCCAGTGTTGCCTCATCTTAAATTGCTCTAAAAAATGTTTTCTGTCTCAGTCTGTTGTAAACGCGGGGGTTACAGGAACATGGTGGGAGGGACGAGGACGCCTTGCTGCCTAATTTTATTACTTTAATGTGCTTCAGTGCTGGGCTGTGCCAGCAAAAATAAAGGCAAAGATTGGCCATCTCCAGAGCCCATTATTGAGCAATGATGGGAGTGGATGCTCCTGGTCGCATTCATTATCCAGACAAGACGATGGGGCAAATGCATAGATAGATGCTACAAGTGAATAACTGACAGTCACCACAATTAGCATGCTCTATGGGACAAAGGTTTATTTTCCAATGCTGGTAATTCTCTCCAGCTAATTGCACTTTGGATTAAAACTTCTCAGCAGGGTCCTCAGGCTGCGGGGGGAGTTTTCCTATGTATACATTTCTGATCGAATCAAATTAAGCAGTTTGAGAGAGCAGAGTGTCTTCCATTTCCATTGAAGGCAGTGCTTGGATAACCCAGAATTGTGTTTGCCTTTCAAATTTGACCTTTTTGAGTACCTTCGATGTCAATTCTCAAAAAAAAGATACATGTGATTCTGAAGTGTTCAAAGAAACTGACTTTGCAACCGTCACCTGCCGTGGCTTTGAGGATGCTGGTAACTTGCCTGCCTCTAGTGACCGCTCACAGGAGCCACCAAGGCATAAGAGTGAAGGGTCCAAATGGTGCTGTGAAGATCACAGCTATAGCTCTTTTACTGAAAGCCCCTCCTGCTCACCTTCCACGCTTACTCCATTCACAGTTTATGGAAAATTCTCTTTTTACTTTTTTTAGTTTCCTGTAAGTCCCTTTGCTTCAGTGAAGAGACTTCTCTGATAGTCTGCAGTTACAGGTACAGCACACCTCACCACCACCATCTTCCACTAAAATGGCTCCAACTTCTGCCTTCAAAGGACACACCCTTTGAAGGATGTAGCCCTGGTATCCTGGAGTAGACCTGATGGCAGGAATAACCCTCAAGATATTCTCGGTGATTCCTCAGCACCCCACTTTCTCATTCTGTCTACCACCCTGATTCCTCATTTTCTTGGTCTTGCCTTTTTTCTAGAAAATTCTGGGTGGGCCTAAAAAATAGGCATATTCTGTAAAGTAAGCACTTTTCTTTACTATTCCCCAATATAATTTTAAAAACACACAATGGGGAGGGGGGCGTGGAAGGAAGGAAAAGGGATAAGCAGTAAGTTGGTAATATCATTTTTTTTTTCTTTTGAAGACTGGAACCCAACCAAGGAGATAGGATGTGCATCCTGAATGCAGGGAAGTTCTCCAGTCCCTGAAGGAAGTGGGGGAAAAACATGGAGCCTGGGATGTGAGGTAAATAGTCAGTTAGGCATGTGGAACAGAGGCAGGGCCAATGGGCTGCTGTTTCCATGTTCTGGAGAGTCATTAAGACTAAATAAAGATGGCGGCTGCCCTGAATGGGCAGGAGTCAGAAGGCAGTGGGTGAGGAAGAAGTGAGGCAGTTCTCAGCGGGGAACAAGAGACCAAAAGAAGCAGCCAGGACCAGCTTACTTAGTTGGTTTTCTATTGCTATAATAGATATACAGACTGGGAAACTGATAATTAAAAAAAATGAATTTCTCATGGTTCTGGAGACTGGGAAGTCCAATATCAAAGTGCTGGCCTCTGGTGGGGGTCCTTCTTGCTTTATAACATGGTGAAGGCCATCACATGGTCAAAGAGAGACAGAGAGAGAGCATTTATTTCTTCCAAGGATAAGGACATTAATCCATTCATGAGGTTGGATCCCTCGTGACCATATCACCTCTCGAAGGTCCCCCTCCCAAAACCATCACAGTGGCAATTAAATTTCAACATGAGTTTTGGAGGGGACATTCAAGTCATGGCAACAAGAAAGGCTAAATGCAGGACAGCAAGAGAAAAAAAATAAATAAATAAAGCAAATCAGATGGAAGATGAGTCCCACCTACACATTTCCCAGAATTCCTCCCTGTGCCCTTGCATTTTCTGGAAACTGTAGATCAAACATAAACTTCATGGTCAATGGCAAAGGTCTGGCCTTCCTCCCCAAGGTCCTCCACGTCTTCCCTGAACTTGTGCACGTCTCCCTTCCTTCAGAAACGAATTGGGTTGCAAGTACAGAGGGATGTGCTGAACACCCTCGTGGGTGGTGAACTATCAACTCAACCCTGGCAGACCTGAGGGCTGTTAGCCTCACCCTGGGCATGGAGCACAGCCAGTGCTTTAAACGATCAACATGGTGAGCTGCTACTCAGTATGCAACCACCACGTCTCTACCTGCTAGTCTGGCAGGACCAGAGGGATGACCCCATCCCTGGGAGAAGGCCTTGCAGATCAAGTTGGGACAGTCCTACCGAGTCTTTTCTTGATTCTGTGAAGCAGGTCAAAGAGCTGGACTCT